GGGGGCAGGGGCGCACCCGGCAGATACAGGGGCAGATAACTGTTAACTGACGCAAGGAAAGAGAACAGCTGGTCTGAAGATCTGAGCTCCATCTAGGACTGCAAACCAGTCTCAACAGGCTTAGTGGTGGCCAAGGAAGTAAAATCGGAACAGACCTGAATTGTTGACATTTTGGTGAAGCGGCCCACCACTATTCAGAAGGGGCCAATGAGTGGTAGGTAGAGACTGGGTAGAGGCCTAAGGAGCCGTTTCGGGAGCCATGCAGCAACACACCCACTAACTCTGAGCAGGGCCTTTTCTAGCACAGTTCCTTGCTCCTGATTCACCCCCCAGTTTACAAGTTCAGGTCTCTTCTGCTTTGGCTCAGTTACCCACAGCTACCATGATGCCCCTGGACCTGTCACTTTCCTTCACAGACTCCAATTCCCTCATCTGCAAAAACAAGGCAGTTACGCCAGATATTTTCCAAGATTCCTTCCAGCTGCAACACTGGATGGAAATGAAAGAACCACCCTGTACCCTCAGAGAGCTTTGTCTCAGGCCCTTGAGTAACCAGCTCTGCCAAGGTGACATGGACTTCCCTGAGGACAGTAGATGGCCAAAAGCTACTCAAGTCTCCTGCCCATCACTGTTTCTAAGGTGGCCAAACAGAGAGAGGGTACAGGCTTTCAGTACCCGTGCCCCCTATTGGTGGGCACCCCTCCCCTGGCAATCCCTGGCTGTCCCCAGATTGCCAGGACTGCCGCCCGAGCTAGGGAGTGGGTGCGGCACACGCACGCGCACGCGCGCGCACACACACACACACACACACACACGCGCGCACACACACACGCGCGCGCACACACACACACAGCCCGGATGCCTTATCTCTTAGCAACGGGGAATGCTCAAGTGCCGCTGCCCCTTCCCGAGCGGAGCACTGAGGACTCAGCCTGCAGCCAGAAAAGCGAGCAGCTGCTGACCTCCTTGGGGGGCGGGACAGGAGCGCTCAGGGCTCCCATCTCTCGGTGTGCCCACCAAGCCCCCAGCTCCCCAGCTCCGGGCAGGGCTGGCCAGCTGCGTCGGCCCCGGACCGCGATGGCGATGGCAGGCTGCAAACTTCTGGCTGGGCACTTCCAGGAGCCCACCCCCGCCCCCCAGCCTTCCGAGGGGCTTTCACCAGGCCCTGTCCTACTTTCTGAAGGGGCACTTCCCTGCCCAGGAGCCCCTCCTCCCGCGCTGGAGCCTCCCGCTGGCTGCAGGCAACAGGTGCCAACGGATGCCAGGGGCACTGCCAGAAGCTCTCCCCGGGGATGGGTTATGCCCCTGCTCCAGCCTGCCCTCCTCAAACTACTGCCCGCGCTCCACCCCGCGGGAGGTCCACCCTCGAAGTTTGGAGGGGGGCTGCCCAGAGCCCCGGCCGAGGATGGCTTTGGAGCCCCCGGGTTGGCAGAGAGGAAGCAGCAGGAATGCTGACGGCTCCCAGAGGGTCTCCCAGGGGGGACACACCGAGGGGAGCTGGGAGGGCGGGAGGGGGGCGCTGCGGCACAAGAGGCGCCGCCAGCCCACCCGCTCGCCCGCGTTTCCCTCCCTTTTGCAGCCAGAACAGTGCGTTCCTCCCCGTTCCGCGCCAGGCGCACCCCCCTGGCAGACCGCCCTGTCCCCGCCGCGGGCGACACCCCGAGGGCCA